AGGGTCATCTAAAGGTTAGCTTCACTTTAGCAGAGTGAAGTTAACAGGGTCATCTAAAGGTTAGCTTCACTTTAGCAAAGTGAAGTTAACAGGGTCATCTAAAGGTTAGTTTCACTTTAGCAGAGTGAAGTTAACAAGGTCATCTAAAAGTTAATTTCACTTCAGCAGAGTGAAGTTAACAGGGTCATCTAAAGGTTAATTTCACTTTAGCAGAGTGAAGTTAACAGGGTCATCTAAAGGTTAGTTTAGCAGAGTGAAGTTATCAGGATCATCTAAAGGTTATTTCACTTTAGCAGAGTGAAGTTAACAGGGTCATCTAAAGATTAGCTTCACTTTAGCAGAGTGAAATTAACAGGGTCATCTAAAAGTTAGTTTCAGTTTAGCAGAGTGAAGTTAACAGGGTCATCTAAAGGTTAGTTTCACTTCAGCAGAGTGAAGTTAACAGGGTCATCTAAAGGTTAATTTCACTTTAGCAGAGTGAAGTTAACAGGGTCATCTAAAGGTTAGTTTCATTTTAACAGGGCTTAGCACAACTGTATATATTCAATACATAACAGCAAATATACGAGTACACGTCCATGCTTCTGTTATGCTTTTGTTATGGGAAAATAAGAGTTAGCAACGTAAAGAGAAACATAAAAGTGAGTTTAATGAATGGAAATGGGGTACTTAAGAAGTTTGCATGGTCAAATAAGAAGAAATGGGTGCTGAATTGAATTAATACAAAAGTCAGTGTTCTGTATAAAAGAAGTTTATTGAAATGGTTTGATCACGGAAAGAATACACGAGGATTGAATTTCAAAATAAAGATATGAAAGAAGAGTGAATGGATCAAAAGGAAGACAAAGAGTAAGAAGGAGGCCATTGTTGGTTGAAGTTGATGAGATCTCAAAAAAAAAGGAGAGAGAGGTGAGAATTTTAAGGAATAAAAGACAATGTATGAATTGGAGTTCTGGGCTTACGCGAAACAAAGATGGCTTGCAAGGATGAAAGAAATGGAAAGGGTGAATGAACGGTGCTGGTGCAAGTAAATGTAGCTAGATTTTCTTTTGTTTTCATATCACCTCTCTTTCATTTGTTTTTTAAAGTTTAATTCTGATAATAATAATACTTCTTGGTCCACAGTGCTTAGTTTAATGTTGCTTGCCACAAATGGGGAAGCATGTGATTGACGTGTAGTTGTATGCAATATTGTGAATAGGTGTATGCAACATTGTGCATGCATACAATGAAGTATTTCCACCTTTAGATAAAGCATTGTCCACCTTTCCTCATTGTAGTCTCAGAAAAATAATGAGTCTCAGGAAAACCTGTGGGCCAGTTTTTTCCCCCGACATTTGTCAGTTCCAATCACTCCCCTACTCCTTAAGCAAGAGACAGCTGTCCAGCAGTTAGTCCATTTTCTGTTCTCTGAAGGACATACTGTAGCCGGCTGCAGAGATATGGCAGGGTCCCTCGTCCCTTTTCCTTTGGAGCTATATCTAATCTGATACCTTCCCGTGTGTTTCTTTATTCGACAGCATTTTAATCTGGGAGGCGTCCAATGGGGAGTGGAAACAGGGTCAAGCCAACTAGCTTAGACAAGATGGACAGAGTCCGGTAGAGAATCCTTCCTCCAGCGCTCCCATTGGTTGGGTGTTGTTTCCCCCTCCCCCCGGTTGCCTGGCGATGGGCTGGAAAGGGACATCAGCAAACCAATCACCTTGCCTATAATGGCTGTCACAACCCTGGCTATCATTCAGCAGCGACTGGGAAGGGATACAGGCAAAGGCAGCATAGAGATTGACAATGAGCACCCCAGATTTTATGCTGGCATTGTGTTTCGTTCTGTCAAATGAGGACAGGTAACAGTTTAGCTTTCGCCGTGAGGAAAGGCCCTGAGGTTGTAGGTTTGGGTTTTGTTTGTTTCGTTTCCATAGGGTCTGTCCTTTAGGTAAAGGTTCCCCTCGCACATACGTGCTAGTCGTTCCCGACTCTAGGGGGCGATGCTCATCTCTGGGCCGAGGTGGTGCAGTGGTTAAATGCAGCACTGCAGGCTACTTCAGCTGACTGCAGTTCTGCAGTTCGGTGGTTCAAATCTCACCGGCTCAGGGTTGACTCAGTCTTCCATCCTTCCGAGGTGGGTGAAATGAGGACCCGGATTGTTGTTGGGGGCAATAAGCTGACTCTGTAAACCGCTTAAAGAGGGCTGAAAGCCCTATGAAGCGGTATATAAGTCTAACTGCTATTGCTATTCAAAGCTGAAGAGCCAGCACTGTCTGAAGACATCTCCGTGGTCATGTGGCCGGCATGACTAAACACCAAAGATGCATGGAACGCTGTTACCTTCCCACCAAAGGTGGTTCCTATTTTTCTACTTGCATTTTTACATGCTTTCGAACTGCTAGGTTGGGATGGATGGATGGATGGATGGATGGATGGATGGATGGGTGGGTGGATAGGCAGGCAGGCAGGCAGGCAGGCAGGCAGGCAGGCAGCCAGCCAGCCAGCCAGCCAGCCAGCCAGCCAAGCAGACACACAGACACACAGATTTACTCTTC